GGCACATCTAGTTTAGCAAAGCTAGTTTAAATAGAGTCCAGATATCGATATAACATAATAGTAAATTTACAGTAACATAAATATAATATACATCACTTAGACTTGACATATAGATTAAATTCATTCCCTTCTTTAAACCATAATTTCAAAGGACTGCACTGATTTCTATAAATGCCCCCCCATCCTCCCCTATTCCAATTCATACCTCTTCCCCCACCTCCCGACCTCCCCTCCCCCCCCAAAAAATGATGCTTTACTTTACCTGGTTTCCCAGGTAACCCATCACGACCATCCCTGCCTAATGAAAAAACAGAATATATCGTCAGTACAGTGTAATAACGTGGTGAAGCTGAATACTGTATTATGAAAGATGGCAAAACAACACGAGAATAATCGTAACAAAAAATTGGATTGTTCAAATGAAACAAGAAATGTAAAACACTGATTGACTATAACATGATAACCAGTAAAATAAGTGCTACAGTGTTCTAACTTCTAATAAACAAGATTTTTAGGTTTAAAGGGCTCCTAAAGCCTAATACAATATTTTCCTTATCAATTCTATACATGAAGTGAATAGTTGAATGATGAAATATTTCTTCATTCGTTGCTTCTTTAAGTTATAAAGGTGTTTATGCTCCAAATAAATGTTCTTAATGATTGACAAATGTTAGTAACAGAGGCTAGCACAAATATGCTTTCCACGACGACCGTCTCTACCTCGCAGTAATATTGTTCGGCTTGATTCAACTGCGTTTATTCTGTAAAAGAGAAAATTTGAAAATCTAGTTTATTCAATGGATCTCGATATTGCTATGATCTTGAGAACCAAATGTGATAGTCATGGGCGTTTTTAAAAAAGGTGGACCTTTTTGACTGAGGATTGAAGGTCATTTTACTGGAAGTGCAAGCGCAGAAATTTGCAGTTCTTTTCTAAATTGTTTTCATTTTATTTCTTTAAGTTGCATAGAAATAAAGCTATATCTTTAAATATTTAATTATTTTAAAATTGATGGGTTGCAAGCATTCCCAATAGAGTCAAAAGACAAAAGCATGGCGGCCATTGTGGTGCTGTTAACAATGGATGCGAATCAGTGAGAAATCTTTTGGCACCAACATGGCCGCGATGACCAAACTTATTTAACGAAAGAACAAAATCATTTCAAACTCTTACGAAAATTACGAGATGATAATAATTATATGAAAAGCATCAATATATAAAATTAAAATATCTAAAAACAATTATATCATCAGTTAAATGAAAATGCTGTAACATCTGCGAGAAGAAATTACAGACTCCTATTAAAAACTAAAGCTCATTGATTAAAAAAGCGAGCTGGTACAGTWAGTTGAACATTCGTCAAACCTTTTTTGAATGTCTACCAGGACTTTAGCCATGTCAGCCAGTGTTGTTGGAGTTTGTATTGGAACTGTTGCTCTTTTCTCGACACCTTGTTCTTGTTCCTCAGTTGCTGTTACAACAACAAGAAGCAAAGCAAGACCTACTGCTACTACAAGCAGTACAGCTTTAGACAACATTCTACTTCCAGCAGACGACATATTTTACTGAATCGAACGAATCAAGAAATGACGGAGATAATCTTTCCTTTCGTCTTCAAGTAAAGTTTCATCATGCGAATTGTCAATAACCCCATAACAAGAAATTTCATGAAAACGGATTGTTATTGTTAGTCTTTGGAACCCTGCAGCTAACGGGAAAAAGAGTTGCTTTCATCATACCTCAAATATACAAATGAACAGTTTAACAACGGTCGGGCCGGAGGAATCATGAAAAAAATCTATGTTAGCATGAAGTGATCTTCAAAGAAAGCAGCACCCTTCACCAGCTGACTGTCAGTGGTTTTACTAATGGTTTAAGTCGAAATATTTCTGATTATATAATAACTGTTATAATTCTCGCGTTCTGATTGGTTGGCGGCACGAGTTTTATGAGAGCACACGGCACGCGCGCGCAATTTCATTTGCCTCATTACTATCCAAAATAATGGTTATTGTAATTTGTGTTTTATAAAATAAAAAAATAAAAAACTTGCTTGCTGTGCTGTGTGGAGTTATAAAGCACTTGGGGATTGGCAGAACACTCGAGAAGTGTCGAGAGTGCTTCTCCTAACACCTCTCTCGTGTTCTGCTAACACGCGTGCTTTATAACTGCACACAACACGCACGCGCGATTTCTATTTCTTCAATATATATTAAGTAAGATAACRGGAGATCCAACTAGGGATCTCAATCTTAACATCTTCTCATTYATGTAGGTGCCCGATAAAAATGATGTTAAAGTGGCAGCAGAGCCAATTTAAATAGCATATATACTGAATCAGTAGTTCTTGGAAGTCAAACAAATGAAAGGAAATGATAAAAAGAAATGAGAAAGAGCAAGAGCTAAATTTTGGTAAGTACGTCTAAAAATATTGAAAAAATAGAAAATATGTGCGCGACATGCTCTGCAGTGCGCATGGGTAGATAGTCAAAATATGTGAGGTACGACATCTACAAAATTTAACTGACACGTATACGTAGTCGCCGGGCTTTAACAACAAAAACTCGAAAATTTGAAWGTCAACTTTTATCACAAGAATACTGAGCACTTTTTACTCAAATATAACTCAAAGTTGAACATCAAACAGAACAAAAAATCTAAAGTTGTCATGAATGGTATTTGAAATATTTCAAAATAAGTATTTAGATCTGTGCCAAATAGGGATTACAGATGACTCCTGCGTTGATGAGTGAAAATTAATTTAACTGAAAACCCAGATAGTGAAATTTCTTTGGAGATTCGTCACGATTCGTCCTCTTGCTTGTGCTAGGTGCCACCAAATTAGAAAAGAGGTTCATTTTTCCGAATAGTCTCCGATCAAGACGAATTAACTGATGAAGGTCGTTAGCTGATCATAGATCGCTTGTGTTTTGCATCATCATTCCTCAAATTTGTCGTAGGGGAAATTTATGACTTTCGAACTACTTTTCTCAAATTTTATCACAGGAAGTCAACGCAGTCATCGTCTAGTTGAACCAAAATATCAACGAACAACAAAACGGTCAATGCTTGTTAACTCTTTATTGTATGCTTTTTTAAATGAATAAACTTATTGAACTACATTTAACTTWAGCTCTCAGTTTTACGTAATCAAAGGTATGAATAGTTTCCATGTCCTTTACTTGGTACACACTACGCATGTCAGTTCTCGTCCGTCAACATATGGAAGACAGGGCAGAGAACCACACCTTCCCTCCACAGGATACAACAGGGCACCTTCAGAATTGCGTTGGCTTCCTAGCACAGCCTCTGCATCTTGATCAACACAAATGAATTCGGATTTTCCAAAACTATGATACTGAGTCATCAGATACCCGCGGTACTCTCGTGTCCATCCCACGGGACACTCGTAAGTCGCAGGGATCATCATCTTGGTACTTCGTGTTGTAAYGTAACACACAGCACATGGAGCCTCGTGATCATGAAGATTACTTGTGGTAAGCGGGTTGAATGCGTTTACTTCGTACTCTGTACCGTACATGTATCCAGCGTGCTGGTGACCATCTTTGTATCTTCCATATTTGGGGGTCTCAGGGAGACATACGTAATTTGCACCTCCACCTTTATGAGAATAGTACTCTCCTCCGATACGTCCTATGAACAAACATGAAAAATGACTGACTTCTCAATAATAAATGACAGTGAGAAACTTTAAAATTATTTTTGTATTCCTTTTTTCACCTTTGTAAACAAGAGAGGCACCGTAAGGGCAGGTAGTTCTTCCCCATCGTACGTACTGTACTCCACCACCGTTAGGTCCTGGTAGACCTCTCACACCTTGATGTCCTGTCTCTCCTTTCAAACCCGGTGGACCTAGAGGGAGAAGATGCAAGAACTTATTCTGGAAGTAAAATACCTTTCATACCATGGAAACCTGTCTTTACAAATTTCACATAATTTTTTAGACAAATAACGTAGAAGATAAAGGGCCTACCAAAAGAGAGAAACTTTATTTATGGACGGTAAACGTGCGACAGGACAGCGGATAATTCGTTTAGYACTTTTATCATTATCTCGTACATTATATTTTGATAGGTTGAATTATAAAGATATCTGATCCGTTTATCTGAAAAGACTTAAAGCCATCGACGCAGAGAAAATTTAGCTCATGCGAGCGATTGTTACCTGGTCTTCCTGGTAACCCACAGTTACGACCATCTCTGCCTGTACAACATATAATGAGAATGAGAACAAATATGACGTATAGAAAGGTTTCCTTCGATTTCCCAGTAGTTTATGGGCTCCCTTTGTTATGAGAGGTGATGTAAAAATGGCTGTCACATGCATGGTCAATTGTTAGAATAAAACCACGTTACATACAATCAATCCTGGTGTTTGCTATACTTACCTTACAAATAAGACTATCTGAAACTGAAATTGAGAATGAGAAGGAATAGCGACGTCGGTGATCAGGGTAATTATTAAATACGGTTAGCTTTACCTGGTCTCCCCGGTAACCCATCACGACCATCCCTACCTAGTAAAAAACAGAAGATATCGTCAGTACAGTGTAATTAGGATTAAAGTGCCACTAATGTCTGATACAATATTTTCAGTATTGATTCTACATGAAGTGAACAGTCAAATTGTGAAATATTTCTTAATTTGAGTGTTACGTCGTTAAATTATTAAGGTTCATTTATACTCCAAATAAATGTTATTAATGACAAATGTTAATGAGAGCAGCTAGCACAAATATGCTTTCCATCACGACCGGTTCTACCTCGCAGTAATATGGTTCGGCTTGATTCAACTGCGTTCATTCTGTCAAAGAGAAAAGTTGAAAATCTATTAAAGTCAAATATMAACAAATAGATAGATGAAAATACAAAACAGATTGCACAAGACTATACTAACTACTACATAGGAGGCGGATTTAGCTTTTAAAGCGTTTCAAATATCTAAATATATATGTAAACGATATAAAAGCTATAAGAAGCTACAGGAAGATATTATAAACTCCGATTAAAAACTAAAGCTCGTTGATCAAAAACGACTTGCGCAAAGTTAGTTAAACATTATTCACACCTTTTTTGAATTTCTACCAGGACCTTAGCCATATCAGCCAGTGTTGTTGGAGTTTGGATTGGAACTGTTGCTCTTTTCTCGACACCTTGTTCTTTTTTCTCATTTGCTGTTACAACAACAAGAAGCAAAGCAATACTTACTGCTACTACAAGCAGTACAGCTTTAGACAACATTCTGTGTTTAGAGATCGGCAGAAAATTTCACCAAAAGTTCTTCACTGGCTTTTGAGTATGTTTTTAAGAGAAACAAAGAAATGGACTCAAATGCTATGCAGATCTTATTTTTATCAATCATTACATTAAGTAAGATATATTTAAAAAGAAACAAGAAACTTCTTGTTAAGTTGTTAAGCAAACAGTACCCGTAATTTTATCCAACAATAGGATTAACTTTTTTCTTTCTATTGTCATTACGTCCTTCGTTGTTCATTTTTTCTCACTATTTCTCTCTTTTCCTACTTTCTTCCTTCCTTCCTCCCTTTCTTTTAAATAGCTTGAACATTATTAAACTTCGTATATTCTTAGATCTAAATTTAGCCCGTTTATTAAGTCCAAAAGGTTGCAAAGTGTTATTCAATAAGCTTCTCTTCTGAGAAGTTTATTGTCAGTCCCATGACAGTCCCAAATGGCTTCAATGCAAATGAATTTAAAATCAGTTAATGTATGGCTTGAACTATTAAAAATGGGTCGCAGCTTCACATATTTTTTTGTCAGTCTTCATAGCCGATTTATGATTACGGAATCTGATCTTTAAGTTCATCAGTAGATGCTGAGCCCACATATTGCAGATTGCATTTGATAATCAAGTGGGATGTTAACAATAAATACGCCTTATTTGGTTCTCAACCTTAGTTGGCAATCAATTAACTCATTTTAGGAGAAACAAGAAAGTTCATGTTACGTTTTTAGGAAGAAAACATTTAGTTCGAACATGCTGTGTGTGAAATCATTAGCTTAGAAATTTCGCTTTGGCTGGAAAAATGTTTTTGGAGAAAAACAATTGGGTTATCCAAAGAAATCGACCACAGAAATGTTCTTTGGGCTAAAATATTTGGCTTTGAATTTAATTATTTTTCAGTTTGCAATTTGAGCTTCGACACCATTTCTGATTTAGGGTTATATCGCTATAAAAACAAACAAAAGAGATGAGAAATCTGCATTTATTATTCCTCGATGATAATAAGATGATAATAATAATAACAACATTGAACAGTAATATATAATAATAAAATAATGATTATTGCAACATACTGGTTGTCGGATTGGTTTATCTTTATGTTTTTTCCTCGTTTATTTATCAGTAAGTTTGTAAATTATTAGTTGCCTCTGACACTGCACTCATATTTTGTTTTGAATCTTTTAGGTTTTAGAATCTGATGCAGTACCCAAATGTCTGCAGAATAAATGCGCTTTGTGTTTATGCAGTTTTTAGGGATTCCTTATATTACTAAAATCCATTATGCTTTTTAAAAGGCGGTGTAGAACCCTTAAACAAACTCAGGGCATGACCAACTGATATACAAATAAAAAATTTAGGTTTAAGTTTTTTTCTATAACCTTAGTCCATTAAAAATAAAATGTTTTGGACAATGTTTGCCATGTTTTATTAACATTGGAGTCAATGATAATAAGGGGTAGCAACAGTTTCGTTGCAAGTCTCACCTATGGCGCGCATGGTGGGTGGAGGGCGAAATATCTGAGCTCCATTGATTAATCTTTTCCCATCTATTTAAAGATGAGGAAGCATAATTTGACATGTCTCAGTTTAACATGTTTCTCTCCCTTTCATTTGCAGTAAACCTACAGCTTTTCCAAGGCGAATATTGAAGACTGAGTGAAACAAACCAAGCTAGAAATGTTGACCGTCTTTTGTTGGTAAGTACATCGTATTTTTATTCATATCTCCAATATATGGGCGGGAAAGTGGTCGTGATAGCATAAAAACGAGGCTAAATAAGTTATATTTGGAGTTTTACTTTTCAAGAGGAAAAAAAAAAAACAACAAAAAACAAAAAACAATTAGATAAGATGCTAGAAGAAAAAACTTATAAAACTCCAGCAAAAGATCATTCAGTGAAACTGTTACTCTCGTGCGTTTTTTTTGTTACTACATTCGGTTTGCCGACCCATAATAGTCTCCGTGCATGTCATTTAGCTGTCAGAGTTTTGGACCTAATCACATGCGGTTTCCAGATCACGTGTATCGAAATAACAAGTAAGTTATTGAAGAGTTATCCAAAAGCTTTTGTGCTTGTAAGGCAATTGCCAGTCTCAGCTGCCTGTGAGCATCAATATCAAAACTGGTGAGTTTATTTATATGTAACTAATAGTTGATGCATATATATTTTCTGAAGCAAGATTCCGATAAGTCGTAGCTTCGTGCGCATCTGAAGACATGTTTATGGTATCAGTTATTATTTAAACTAGGTCCTAACAACCAGTGCGTACTTTACGACTTTAAAGAAAGATCATCAGTTTTCATTTATTAATACTCTAATTTAAAGTATTTAATTTCTTGGATTCGGTAATATTTTTGAAGCACCAAAAGATGTAAATTTTGAGTAGATTGGTGACGGCGCAGTGGTCAAAGACAAGCCTTGTATCTTTTCGCTCGAATTGAGATGTTCTTATTTCTTTTCAAGCTAGGGTATAAGAGCTAAAAACATTTACCATTAAATGTCAAAGAGCACAATGAAGGTTTAAAAAGTATCCTACATTCAACATAGGGCGTACAGTAATGCTCGTGTACCAAAATATTTTGCACTTTGTATTCTGCTCTGTGCGATACTCGATCATTGTTTATATCTATTGTCGGGACTCTCATTAGTTCGGCGAAACGTTATATGTATGTACGTTGGCATGATTTTCCCCAAAAAAATACGATGTTTCAAAGCAAGAACCACTAAAATCTTCAAAAAACTTAATTACGATGTGTTTCGTTCAAGAGAATTTTATAACAAATGTTTTTATCGAAATTTATTTTCGTAAGACATTGCAGCGTGAAGCGTACCGTGAGAATCTCTGAACGCACTAATTGTTGTCGAAATATTGTTTCCGCCCCTTAGCAACATTTGACATTCCCCCTAACAACGGCATGTGTTATAAAGAGGAAATACTACCTTCCAAAAACCATCAAGACCAAAATTCTTTTCAGCAATGTCACACAATATTTAGATAACGGGCCGAAACATAATCGCTTTTGAAGCGATATAGGCTTGTTCCTCTTAACACAGTAAAATACCACTGGGATGTCATTTGATGAGTCCTGCAAGAACTCAAAATTAAGCAAGTCATATCTAGATCGTCTTCAGCCCATAAGTTCAAATCTCCATCTAATAAGATAAAGATTATAAAAAATGCTGTTGAAATTCGTATCGTACTTCGTTTAGTACCACGTACGTCGTGTGATCAATAAGGAATTTTTTAATGCTCACGAATACTGCCCAAATGATTGTATACGGATTGTATACATTATGGTTAAAAAAGAAAATTATTATTTATGATTATTTATTAATTTATAATCATATTTTATTTGTGGTTTTAAGCTCAGTCATATGGGGACTGCACCATTTATTCATATTTGATACTAGTCTAATAGTTTCATATAAAGAATTTTTAATGTTCTCGAACACTGCCCAAATGAATTGTATACGGTATGTATTTTTCATTATTATTCAAACAGACAAGACAATTCAATGCTCAGTGATTCTTTATTACCTGTTGATCAGTAATCTAGCTTAAGAATTTACAATCAATAGTTGGCCTTGGTTTGACTGGCTTGTTGTGGTTTCTATTTGGTACACACTGCGCATGTCAGCTCACGTCCGGTAACATACGGATGACAGGGCAGAGAACCACATACACCTTCTACAGGATACAACAGGGCACCATTGAGATTGGCATGGGTTCCTGGTACACCCTCTGCGTCGTTGTCAACGCAAATGTATTGGGTAGGATGTGGATGGTTGTGATACGCAGACATCAGATATCCATGGTACTCTCTTGTCCATCCCGCGGGACACTCGTAAGTGGCAGGGATCATCATCTTGGCACTTCGTTTTGTGACGTAGCACACGGCGCATGGAGCTTCATGATCGTGAAGATGGCCTTTGGTGAATGGGTTGTAAGTGTTCACTTCGTATTCTGTACCGTACATGTATCCAGCGTTCTGATGACCATTTTTGTACCTTCCATATTTGGGGGTCTCAGGGAGACATACGTAATTAGCACCTCCACCTTTATGTGCATGATTCTCTCCTCCGATACGACCTGGAAATTACGATAATTCATTTGAAAAGAGTATGGCCAACATGCATAAAAGTAAAGTTTAAGTTTTTCTAAACGTTACCTCTATAGAGAAGAGAGGCACCGGAAGGACAGGTGGTTCTTCCCCATCGTACGTACTGTACTCCACCACTCTTCGGTCCAGGTGGACCTCTCACACCATGATTCCCTCGCGCTCCTTTCAAACCTCGTGGACCTGGTGATAGAAGAATGTTGGTAATTTAATAGCCAAATACAAGACTTCATGCATCCTGCTACTTTTGCTACTCAGAATTGTTAAGATGCTTGACAAATTAGCATCCAAACCTGCCAAAGTAGTAGTAATAATAATGATAATAACAACAACGACAACAACAACAACAACAATATATATTTGTATAGCGCATATCTCTCTTTGCTGTACAATAATAATAATAAAAATTAACATAAATGATACACCGAATCAAACTACGGCGACCAACCCGATCAGCCAACGCTCTTGACTCACCAGCAAACCATACAGGCGAAAAAAAATTATAAAATGCTTCATTGTAAATTTTTAATGTACCTCGTGGTCCCGGGGATCCATCTCGACCATCTTGTCCTGTAAAATGAAAATTTATTTCAATATTAGTTGATTGAGTTGATGAAGTGATTTGTTTGAAGTAACAGACGATAAGTGTTGAACCCAGTTAGTTTAGTTGTGTGTAGGGTCGTTTTTCAAGCCTCGACAGGAACAACACTCAGGTTAGACCTTCATGTGGCTCGGATGACCACGTCAATGATTGTCTCGTTCCTAAATAACTAAAGACGTTAAAAGAGGACCACGAGTTTATCAGTTGAATCACTGTCAAGTGTCATCCTCTATAAACAAAGTTGAGTGATTGACTTGTTATATTATATTAGTAAAAATACACAGGTGATTATTGAAAATCTCGCGCGCTGATTGGTCGASAAACTCACACTATCACACGATAATCACCTCCAGCGATAATCCAAACTGGCGGCCATCCGCTTTGTTGCTGTTACCGGAAAAAAATGTCTTTTATCTGCTTTTCTTTCTTTCTTTTTTTTGAAAGAATCACCTGTGTATTTATACTAAAACAATTATTTGCCTCAGCCTCAGTGAATATCGGAATATATGTAACTCGCCGCTTGAAGACTCGCGTCTCGGTAAATATTCCCCGATATTCAGCTCGCCTTCGGCGAATAATTGTTTAATAAGGAATAAACGATCAAATAGTTCTGAAATAGAACCTTAGGCAATTAAAGTAATAAAGTACGAGAAAGATCTCCATTCAAAATAAACTTTTTGTTTGGTCAAGTGGTTGTGATAGTGTTAACGTACCATACTTTTCATTACGTTTGTGAATTGCGAAAATGTAATGCGCAATTCGCTTTGCAGTGCTAATTAACCAAGAGAACAACCACTTTTGAAACTGAAGTTCAGTTAAGGTTTTATCTTTTAGTTCTAATGTAATATTTTTTCAAAGTTTTCCAGTATGGGATACTAGGGAGACAATAAACAAATGAATTAAGTAATAAGAAAACAAAAGAAAAAATAAAATAAACATTAATAATAAAAATAAGATTTAGGCTCAACTTGAAAAAATATTCATTAACTTCTTACCTGGTTTTCCGGGTAATCCATCGCGTCCATCTCTACCTGCAAAAAAGACATGTTTTCTTAATTGCTCATATCGATAAATTTAGAAATAGTGATTTACTGGTTTCGGGGTCTTTTTTCTTAGCTTACCTCTTATAACTTCCATATGCCTTGATTCAATTCGCTTGAATCTGAGGAAAAACAATACATGTAAGCTGGTAGGATGCTGATAGCGGGTAGTATGCTGATGCTTGTCTCATTCATTCTGTAACTAATAAACTAAGCCAACTCAGTCATGGTATTTACCATTAGGGTTGTATCACAGTGCAGTATATATATATATATATAACGCACACACACACACACACACAAAACAACACAGTAGTAAACACAACAACATGATTAGCAATGATGGCAACAAAGGGCGCAGAAATAACAATATAAACAACAATAAAATCATCAGTAATGGCAAAAAAAACAAAACAAAACAAAACACGGCTTTGAGTATAATATAACAAGTTGAAGTGTATTCTTCTAAGTACCAGTTAAATATGTTTTTAGTTAACAACCTTTTCTCAAACTCCATCAAGACTTTTATCACATCAGTCAGTGTAGTTGGAGTCTTCCTTCCCTGCCCCCTTTTCTCTACCGTTTGTTCCTGTCCATGGGCTGATAGCACTGTAAGGCTTACTGCCAGAAGCAGTGCTACTTTACACCAACTTTCATTGCCAAACTGCATTTTGAACTTCAAACAAACTTCAGAGTATGTAGGTCATGAAGTGTAGTGAAGAAATGATCTGAGTATTCGATGGGTCGACTACTTGAGTGTTCGTTGTTTCTGACACTATTCTTAAAACACCAAACAAGAATTTTCTTGCAGAGTAAACATTTTATCACCCAAACTTATTTTCCGCAAATGAAAAAATCAAAAATCTCAGTAACCGAATACTAGGAAAACAAGAAATCATTTCTTTTATGGAGGCGAAACGTTTTAGCTACTAATCACTGACTCATGACTATACATTGCGTGGTAGCACATGCGATTCTGCGACCAGACACCTAGGCTTCCACACGAAGTCCATGAAATTGAGTTAATAATTGTGTTATATAAAAAGACACTATTGTTTAATCCACGTATGACAACTTTTAGGTATTTAAAAATTTCTTAGCTAAGGCCATTATAAGAAAGTGTTTTTTCTTTTGGGCACATTTATGAACATTTCCTATTAACGCGTACTCCCTTTAGGTTAAGATTATCCCGGCCGTCCAAATATAGTGAATATTATTTCAAATGTCATGAATGAGCTAAACATAACATCATGGCTTGATTATTCTTCCCCCAGGCAAAGGTATAGGTGAGACGTGCCTTGTGCTATTAACTCATTAGAAAGTTAAGCATCTCGTTTACATCGCTTAATGAGCGAAAAAAATCTTTAAATTTTGTGAAAAGAATCGCAAAAATCTCCAGTATAAAATTATATATATATATATATATATATATTGGTGAGAAGATGTTTGGTGAAAGATAAAGCGAAATGCAGGGAAACTAAAAATGTGGTCATGTTTACCGTTTGCTTAAAGTATAAACAGGATGTTTAATCTGTCTAGTAATGCGATATTCGGCGACGTCATAAAACAAGAAATTTCTTGTATAAGAAAACATTGAGAAATCTTTGACAATTATGATTAATTAAGAAAGCTCGAAAGCTCTTGATTCATACAAGCGATTTTATCTTTGTTGACATAATGTTTGATAAATAAGATTTGTATCAGACCAAAGAGAAATGTGAAAAATATCAAAATTGTTTAGGCTTTCGCCTGTATGGCTGCAAAGAAAGCCGTTAAGGTTATAGAATACTGATCTCTTACCCGATGTAAGGCAGGCACAGCGAGCTAGATCACTTATGAATTAAGTTATTGGAAGGGGGGGGGAAGGCAAACCAGATAACCGAATCTAACAAAATGCCAAGTTTAGGAATCGATCTCCTTCAGCCTCCAAATTCTTTTATTCTGCAGTTTGTAATCCAAAAGCGAACTCCAATCATGCAAGACAACTACTGTCTTTACTTTGCTTACTCTATCTCATGAGCAGTAAAGAGAATATAATAGCACGTATATAGCTGAAAAAAAGTCGCAAAAATCAGTAGAAAGTAAACCCATGCAAAAAGTGAATGAGAATGAAATTTAAACACCGTTTAAAAATTGTTTTTAGCTTTACCGACCGTTTCCGGCGGTAATTTCAGTATTAGTTAACGGAAGTCACAGCGTCTTTTCGCGTGCCAAATCTGCAAGTATAAGTCATGGAGATCTTCATTAATTCACGACTGGCTTTTCTGTTATCCCAAAATAAAACAATACCAAATTTCTCAAATTTTATGACTAAAAAGTACCATTAAAAATCAAATAAATTCTTTGGACAACAAGACCCTGGGGAGTAGGGTACACTGGTTTACCTGTCTACGACATTTTACCTGGGTCTCTGATAGATAAGTTGCGCAATAGTTCAATGGCGTCTGAATAAACGTGGTGCAACATGATCTGCATGTGAAACGGTAATTGTTTTTGAAAAATTTAAAATCGAAGAGAAGACGGTTTCAATAATGTAGTTTTGGTTTCAACCCTTTTCCAACCCTTTGAATATAAAAAACGTAAGAAGAAAAATTTGGTTATCCAAAGAAATCGAGCACAGAACTTTAATTTTCTTTTGGCACAGATATGATATTTGCTTCAGAATGTATTTATTTTTCAGCTTCGACACCATGTCTGATTTTGGGTTACATCACAAGGAAAACAAACAAAAGAGATAAGAAATCCGAGGGGAAGGGGTGGGATGGTTTTTTGATTATTTATAACTGACAAATATTCGGTGTTAACATCTTTTCATTTATGTAGCTGCCCGATAAAAATCATGTCAAAATCGCGAGCAACCGTGTGGTTTATTTGGTGGATCAGTGAGCCAATCTAAACAGAAACTGAATCAAAAGTCCCTTGGAAAGAAAGCAAATGAAAGAAAGAGATGAAAGGAAATGAAAAAGAGCATGAGCTCAGTTTTGGTAGGTACGTCTAAAATAAGAGCAGTTTTTGCATGACTGTGAAAAGCCCAGTGCGTTAAGCGTGCCGTGCAGTAACCTTGATGTTTTCTAGAATTTTAATTGGCTGATTTTTCTCGCGTAATGCTTGGTGTGGCTTTGCCGTGACTGTGATGTAACCATGTCCGCGCCGTGTTTGTATCGTGTTCTGGGTATTGGATTGGATGGAAAGTAAATTCTCGCGTAAAGTGTTTGGTGTGGCGTATCCCTTGCCGTGTCACGACCGTGTTCGTGCCGTGAGCTTTTCACAGTCATACGAAAGCTGCTCTATTAATGAGAGAGAAAGGAAAAACGCCACCCATGCCGTGCTTTGTTTTGTAATGCGCAAGCACAATGTGCCGCGGAATAGGCCATTTCACGGATCTCGTTACTCAACCTCAGCCTCGTCAGCGTGTAATTATTCTTTAGAA